TGCAGAGACTCAGCTAGTTATCAGCAGAAACACTGTCAGCTGCAGACGAGAGAGAAGAACAGTGAGTCAGAAATGAACAACTGAACGGCACATTCAGAATCCAGGACTTTAAGTCTGCGAAGAGCCGAAAATCAGTCCAACACTTTGGTCCAGAGGAGATGTCTTCACGAGTTCTGTCCAGATTCTTTGAAGACTGGATGAAAACTGTAAAGACACGAACCACATGTTAATATCGTTCCCACCAACCTGCACAGATTATTTAGCCTTTGAAAAGTCAAGAAGGGGCATAAACCTCACGATAAACAACACACTGAACCACTCATTAAGTGTTCTTGTTCTAAAACAAACATGGAGGGAACCAGCAGAGATCCTGGATGGAGCGGTGTGTAGGACTGTATGACCCTCAGAGGGAGTTGGAGGCTAACTTCAGGTAGAATTGTTGATTTACCTGTACATCTCCCTCAGGCGAGTCCCGTCGCAAGTATCAGACATGTTTAAAAGAAAAAAAGTCTTTATTAGAACAACTGGATCTGAAATGTCATCAACTGGTTTGTCCGAGTTTGTCATCATGTAATAAAATCCAATCAGGTGTAGGTACGGCTACTGTTTGGATTCTTTTAATTCCTGTATTGATTCGGCTACTACTTATTGGTAGAGATACTACTCCCATCACAACCATGTCTCCTGTACTAGGAAGTAGGTTATATATAGATAACTATGGTGGACGGACAAAGGGCAGGATTTTTAACACCAGAGACACGGCTGTGGTTTAGCCAACAAAGAGACTTTTGGCTAAATGTCAATCACCTTGTGTCTCGTGCTTTAAGTCACTGTGAACTTCCTGTGTATTCTCCTTAATTTGAATACTTTAATTGAACTAAAATGTTTACTGTGTCTTTTATCTATTTTATTTTATGTGATCAGTGACTAGTAACCGGTTGACAGGTTTACCCTTGTTTGGTGCAAAAGGTCATGTAAGTAAACAATCAACCTTTTCCTCCAACACAACACGTCCTAAAAACAGTTTCAACAAAAACTGGACATTCATGAAGGTAGAAGTTATAACAGGACTGATTTGTCAGGCTGCATTAGTTTTAGCTAGGTGTACCTAATAAACTGGAAAGGGACAATCATCTGGTGTATATTCCAAACTTTGTCTCTTAATGTGACCAATGACAGAAACACACAGCAGACATGGTGACTTGGCAGCAAATTCTGTTGTAATGATGCTCAAAACTTTTTATTTTATGACTGTTTTATGGCTGTTTTGGTGTTTGGATACCTCAGCAGAAAAAAAACTTATCTGAATCTGCACCATCCAGGACAAGTGGTTCGGTTACTCCGGAAACCTGGCTCCTGTCCACCAATCAGGGGCAGCAGTTCCAGCCCTCCCAGGATGTTCGTTTCATCCCAGAAAACAGCCCTGGGAGCAGTTAGGAGAAGGTCAGTGAGCAGCTTGTTCAGCAGCAGAGCCCCAGTGTACCCGTCGCCCCATTGTTTCTGAATGAATGGGGCTGTCTAATTACTGGAGCAGCGACTGGGGCCGCCAGCCTCATTTACAAAAGACTCAAACACGCAAGTTTGGTGCCAGAGAGCAAATCAAAGCCAAGCGAGTGATTAGAGAAGAATGTGGTTTACATACAAAGACTCCTCTCTGGGTGATTCTGTGATGAATACAATTAGGGAAGAATGTTATGTCATTATGCAAGAGAATGAACACTATAAATACAAGTTCATTTTAAAATTATATTGTCTTAAATGACTTGGGAAAAGAAGAGTGAAAGATTTTTAAAAACATCATCTTGTGTCAGTAAAATTAAAATAGAACTTTTATTTTTCAGATGCATCTTTATGAGAATTCATCCAGAGCATGAAGCGCCGACACAGTCTTCGACTTCTCTTGCTGCAGCATGAAGATTAAATGGCTGAATGTCATGCTTACTTTGAATCTATCTTCTCTCTCATCATGTCTTTGCAGATAAACATCAGAGTGGTGCAGTTCATCCTGCATTCAGAAATGTGAAGATATTTCTCTGAGGTTCTTGATGGGAGCCGCACAAAACATTCAGACATCTGTCAGTTCAATGACATTCAGATCAAGAATCCTGGTGTAGCTGGTGGCTGATTGTGAGTCAAGCTAACAGCAGGATTTATACCGCAAAGCTAAAATGCTAGTTACACTAACATGTTAAGTGTAAGAATATCACTGTACCGACTAAACTGAGCTAAACATGAAAGACCAAAGATTACAAATCAAATGTTCGCATGCTAACATTAGTATGATAAGCTAAGAGGCTAGAAATGAAGCGTAAAATGTTGGCAAGCTCATGCTAAAATACAACATGTTACAATGATTAGTGCTAACATGCTAAAATGCAAGACGTTCTGAATCTAACAATGTTGACATGCTAACATTGGAATTATAGCATGCAGCTAACACGCTAATCAGTTCAATGTAAATGTTTGTACCTTAATCATGCTAAAATGTAAATGTTACATCCCGAGAGTAAAAATCATGCTAAAATGCTACAGATGAACATGATGATAAATATTTGTGTGCTAACAAGCCAACAGGCTAAACATTACAAATAGAATAAAATTAATGATTAACACAGTTTAGCTAAAATGCTAAACATTAGCATGTGACCGTGTGCTAACTGTACACGCATACAAATATACATCACAGGCTGAAGAATTATTATAAATAAAGTGTTTACAACATGCGTACATTAGCATACTAGGGTTTCTAATAAGCTATCAGGCTAAACATTACACATCAAATGTTGGCATGTTAGCATGCTTATGCTAAATGATCAGTGTCAAAAAATCTATACATTATCACAAAGAGATTCTAAATTTAACAATGTCAACATGCTAACACATAGGGTAGACAAAGAGGCCTACAAATAAATACTTAACTCGTTCTAAATGATAAGGGCTAACATGCAATTAGTATATTGCTAAATGCTAAATGTTGGCAAATACTGCTGTTAATGCTTTTTAACACAGAAAGATACTATGCTATGTTTTCTCTCTCAGCAGCAGATTCACAAGTCCACACTGGAAGTTCAAACTATTCACAGTGAGAATGTGTAGAGCTAAAATTAACAGCTGCACCTGGAACATGTGTTTACCTGTACAGAAAATACTATGTGGAGAGAAGAACCAGCTCAGGTGTCAGTTCATATACCTGTGAGCACATACACAGTCCGACCTGCTGCAGACTTGTTTGAGTTGTTTACCAAACCAGTAGCAACCAGGACCCTGTTCACAGGCTGCACTGGTTCACACCACAAACCATCAGTGACCACTTCTCTCTGAATAACTGAGCCTCCATGTGTGCTGTCTGTGGTACTGTTCACTCTGTTCAGTGAGGCGGCCAGCTGAGAGGCAGACTCCCTCTGTCGTCATGACGACGGGAGGCGAGGACAATGGCATCCTGTGTGTTCACCCTGGCTGGGCGGCAACGGTGATGACGACACGATGGCGAGAGACAAAACAGCTGAGAGTTGTCCTGAGCGTGACGCAGCAAATAAACTGTCATCAGAGGAGGAGAAGCCATTTTTTTTTTATTCTGGTGTTTCTTTGTGATTTGAGCAAATAAGACTAATTCAAAATAAAAAATAGAATAAATAAATGATGTTCTTGCATTGACTTGTCAGCTGCTTTCTGTCACTGCCGGAGGGAGATTCGGTCGTTTGCTGCACTGACTGTAACATGTTGTGTTGAGTCTGAACTGTACAAACAATGGCAGCTGTGTCTTCTGGATGGACAGCAATAATGACTTTCACTCTGCTTCTTTTCTTCGTCATGTACATTTCTGTTTCTCTTCTACCAGCTGATGATTTTACCAAAATAAACTTTACATTTGTAGCTCCACGACTGGTAAAGCTCTGAGTAGTTCAACCTGTAAGAAACTCTGCAGCATCTATAACACACCAGCAGGATTTTAGCGCCTGATGCTGGACAATAACAGAAGGAGGTGTTTATGGTATTTCAGGTTCTGGAAGTTACAGTTTTATGTGACTCACTTCTATGGCTTTCATTAGCATGAAACTGTCCTGGTGGTTTCATTTTGCTGTACAGACGGCAAAATGAAACTTCTGGCCCAACATCTGTCTGGGTCCTCGGCCCCGAGTCTGGCCCACATACTTCCACATCTGGGCAGATTCCGGCTGTTATCCTCCGGGACTGACCGATAGCTTAAAGATTTTCTGTGTGTACACCAGAATTGGTCCAGATGTTGAAGCAACATCTGCCAGTCGTGTTGTATATTGGCCAGATTTGGGCCGTAGAACTGGGTATATACTGGGCCAGAAGAAAACAAGCATGTGGCCCAAGTGTGGGCAGGATCTACAGCCGGTTAGAGAGCAGCAAAATCAGCCACTTTTCAGCTGCAATTTTTTTTTGATAAAGGTAAAAATGTGTCACACTGTTGTACAGAGACGCCCCGGCCTACAAATCATATTCTCCAGACATAAGGAAACATGTTTGTTTCGTACAAGACCAACAAATATCATTAAAAAATCATTTTAAAATGTTTTCTCGGTGCGAATGAAATGCAAAAACGACAGCCTGAATTATCTTTTTGCAGTGGTTCGTTAACAAGTGAAAGCAGACACAAACTGTGCTCCTTTTAAAACTGCAGAATTTGTTTTATTTGTTTTATTTTACGGATTTTTTGTTGCGACTTTTGTAGTTGTTCAAAATGGGACACAACCGATGTGAACAGTTTTTCCCCCTTGGCTGCTCGTAAACATGCGCTGAATTACACGTCATGAAAGCAGATCTATGGTGGGAGTGTGCGTGTCAAAGATCACCAAACTTTGCGCCTGTGAATTGATTAGTTTTAAGGAATTACGCGTTCATTCTGATTAGTTCTAATTTGGGTTTGTGAAAAAGTGACAGTTTGATTTCTGCCAACATTCAAGTGAGTGTGAGAAACAAATAATAATTCATCTCTTTAAATCCACAACAAGTTAAAAAAAACAAATCTATTTTAAAATATCTTTTAATTAAAGTGATACTTCTCATGTGGCCAAACAAACCTGTCACATTACAGACTGAGGCTTCCTGCTATCCAACAGAGTGAAGAACAAAACACTCACACAGACAGAACATCAGCTAACAACAACACAACACAGCGGCGCCTCAATACATTACTGTCCGTCCCTTTGACTCACTCACACAAAGAAAAGAACCAAGAACAAGAACATTCAAAAGAACAAAGTACAGATGCTGACAGCAGCTGTGGTGGATGAGAACTCTTTATGCCCGTTTTCCCAACTTAAGGTAAAACTTTATTGTCTGACCTCAGACGACGATGCAACTTGGTAAAAGGGGAAAATTAGATTTTTAGATTTGATTGGCACGTAACCAAATAATTAATTCCAGTTAAAGGTCCGCCTTTTATTGCGTGCGGAAAGTAAATAATTTAACATATATGGTAGAGGTGTGAAAAAAAAAGAATCGATTCACTAAAGAGTCGCGATACTATCTCTAAAAATCAACTCATACTTTTCAGTGTTGTAACAGCGCCGGTTTACATTTTCTCCTGACATGAGTTTAGCTCGCTGACCCTGTAGATGGCGCCCGGACACGAGCGACGGAAAACGTAAGGAAGAAGTCATTCAACCCGAACCCATCCTCAGTGTTTGATTTCCAAACGTCAATCAAGCATCGAGTAACAGGCAAGAAAACAATCCACCGTCACGGAGCTCAAGAATCGAATCGAATCGAATCAAATTGAATCGAATCGAATCGAATTGAGAATATATGTGGAATAATGCGCGTGGTCGCCACACTGGGTCACCATCAGTATATTTGATTCGGGATCGGTTTTACGCCAGACGCCCCTCCTGATGCAACCGTCGAATCGAACCGCCAACCACAGGATCAGCAGCCAACCTGCTCTACCCCCCCCCCCAATAACGACTACTAACTATTTACTTCACTTTAAATATAAATTCAACACAACTAACTAAAATAAAATCAATTTTCAACGGAAAAATTTAAAAAAGGGCATAAAAATGATGCTCGTCCACAAACAGTGAGAATGAACAGGATGCAGCTTCAGTGGAAACACGTGTGAGTTAGTGAAAGAACTAAAACGCTGTGAACTAACACCGACTGTGTCAAAGATAAACTCTGTGAACGGCGAGAGGACGGACGGCGGCGTCAGTCTGTCCGTCAGTAAAAACACTTGCTCGACAGTTCGGGTCGATTCCACTCCAAGAGTTTGTGGCCTGATACATCAAACGCGTCCGCCGATCACAGGATCACATCAGAGGAATGACCCGGAGCAAGCTCTCCTTCGACCTTCGACCTCAGCAGTGTGTCCCCACGACAGCGTAGGCGGCGGAGGTGGACGCCTCCCTGCGCATGGTGCTGAACGGTGACAGCTCCAGCTCGGTGGTGGTGCACTCGTTGTCGACGTCGCTGGTGGCGGTGACGGGGGACCGCGGCGGGCCGCACTCTTCGCAGCAGCAGCAGCAGCAGTCCAGGAAGGCTTTGGTAAACGGCTGGCACAGGCAGAACAGCAGCACCGGCGTCACCGCAGACTTACAGAAGAGCAGCAGCTGGCTCACCAGATGCAGGATGTCCAGGGTTCTCGCGGGAACGCCGGCCGCCATGTAGACGCTGACTATGTTGCAGATGTTCTCCGGGATGATGCAGAAGCCGTAGAGGATGGCCAACGCCACCACGGCACAGTTCATCTGGCTCTCCAGCTGGATCTGCTTCTTGCTGCCGCGGACGCAGGCCCGCTCGGCGCGGCGGATCTTGCGTGCGGTGACCAGCGAGCTGCAGATGGTGAAGAGCGTGGGCAGGCAGAAGTAGCAGCCGAAGTACCACCAGAGCCGCGCGCCGTCGTACGTGAGTCCCAGGACGTACAGCGTGTCCGGAAGCTCAGTGGAGATCCGGACCACGCAGCGCTCGCACGGCCTCACGTCGGGCGGGTCGCCGTCCTCGGTGACCAGCTGTCGGATCAGCAGCTCGGGTAGCGCCAGCAGCAGAGCGCCCACCCAGATGACGGCGAGCTTGGCCGAGGTGGACGCCCAGTTCTCGATCATCTCGTAGTACATCTGAACGTTGGTGGCGGCTCGGAAACGATCGATGCACAGAGCGCACAGCGTGAAGGTCGTGACCCCGAGAGACACCACCTAGGGACAGAAGAACACTCTGGTTACACTCCTCAGAAAACAACAACAACTTCTGTACTCAAGAAGAAGAAGAAGAGAAGAAGAAGAGAAACAACAAATCAGTCGACTGCTCGATGAAGAATCTTTTAGTGCGGAAGTGCGTTCACGTCAACGAGCACGGCAACATGCAGTGAACTACAAGGACCCGGATGGTTCCCTCGAAACGGTCAAAAAATTAAGAGTAAACAGCTGGACGCTTCTCACCCTCAACGGCCGCCATTCTGACAACGCAGTGGAAGGGGGGGGGGGACCGCCAACATACTTTTAAACTTGTAAAAGAAATTGGTGACCGAACAATGAGGTCATGTCTGATTTGAGACACAACAATTAATACATGAGAAGAAAACCACGAGATCACAAGGCAGTGTTTCTCAGCAGGAAGCACTTTGTCAGATCAGGTCACACATGCAGCTTTTAGCATCTTCTGACCAACTCTTTCTATTTCAGTACAGACCGCTCCGACCTGCCACTTCTACTTTCTCTCTTTATTCTCAGAACACAGAAACTTTCAAATGTTTTCTGACATCATTAGGTTGATGGGAACACACGCAAACACACACACACACACACACACACACACACACACACACACACACACACACACTTCAGCCTCCTGTTCTGCATCATGTCACAAACCTCATGCACTGAGCCTCAGCAGCTGTAAACACTTCACACTGTGTGAAGGACACAGACAGGAAACAGTCTCAGTGACGCTGCCGAGTTACTGTCATGAAACAGAAATAGAAAAGTCCTGATGTCACGTCTTGTGCAGCTGCTGTAACTCAGTGTAATGTCTCATAGAACATGTTCCTGGGGATTAATTAGTGTCCATGTTCTAATTAGAGAGATAAGTATCTGCTGCAGACCTTCTTGATTAAAGGGACGATGACTCTGAAGTTTTTCCAGCACGTCAATGTTGGTCTGAGCAATTCGTCTGGTTTTATTATTTTATTATTTATGATATTATTATTCAGTCACGATTTTGTTTCCCAACGATGATGAAAACAAGATGATCGAGATAAGACGATTATTGTACCGCGTTCTGTTTCATTCCCCCTCTATAAACCATCCCCGCCATCCACTTCCTGGTTATGTTTTGGCGTACGTTGATATATAGTCTGTAGAGGCCGCGCTCTGTTTGGCCGCCGTCCCACGCTCAGATATCTTTAACTTACATCGGGTTTTTTTATTAAATGTTTTTTATTATATATTTAATTGTATATATTAAGATGATATATTACTTATAATTTTATTTATTTATCTCATTTTTTAAATGTATTTGTCTTATCGTGTTGAAGAATCCTGATGCTCGTGTGAAGGTTTAAACACTTCTTTATTATTTCGTTCTAACTCAGATCAGTACGACAGGATGTTTATTTTACTTTATATTTCTTTACCAGTGTGTGTGTGTGTGTGTGTGTGTGTGTGTGTGTGTGTGTGTGTGTGTCTGTGAGTGTGAGACCGTCCCAGCAGTTTAATCCTCTTGGTGTTTTGTGTGATTACGCTCCATTAGACAGGTGAAGGAGGTGACGGCACTGATCTCAGATCTGCTGCTGTGTCTCTACGTTTCCATTTAACCTTCATTCTTACTGAACTGAGTGTGTGTTTGTTTGTTTGTTTGTGTTTGTGTGTTTGTTTGTTTCTTTGTTTGAAGACACAGTTTGCATGTTTAGCTCACCTGCTGTCCTCTAAATAAAAGTCTCAAGGTTCTGTTAGCTTGTGTTAGCTTAGCATTTAGAAATAACTGTAACTGTAACAAGTGATCACTCTATTTTACCTGTAATTATAACCAAATGAGATGCTTCTTTCTAGTGAAATTAAAATCTGAACCCATAAAATAAAGTTCTAGCCAATAAATGATGTTTATTTATTATCTTAAATAAATGTGCAAATAGGATTAAAATGTTTTTTTTTCCTTATAAATTTGGCTTTAAAGGACAGTCAAGCCTAAAATTAAAATAAATACATAAATAAAAGTGAAATAAAAAGTCAAGAGTGAACGGATGACAGCTGATAAATGTCAGTAAAGTCATGTAGGTCATCGTCTCAAACAAAGAAGCTTAAACTCCTTTTGTTTTCAGCTTCTCCGTCACCAGCTGCTGACATGTTGATGCTCCAGCTGATTCAAAACACACCGAGATTACAACACACACACACACACACACACACACACACACACTACATGGCCAAAAGTATGTGGACACATGGACGCTGCTGTAAAAAACCTCCATTCTTCTGGTTTTCGAGGTTTCTGCCAGATGTTGGTTCAGACCCAGGAGGGACAGTGATGCCGGGTGATGGGTTCTGGCTCACAGTCTGTGATCCAGTTCATCCCAAAGGTGTTGGATGGGGAACGAAAGATGCGTGTGGACAAAGCTCTGATCAAACAGAAAGTCTGAACTGATCCGGATCTAATCCGAGGCCTTCGTCCTGTTTACTCTGATGAGCACAGTCTCTGATCAGAGGGGGGTCTTTGCCTAATCTCAGTCTGAGAGACTCTTCATTAATCCTGATCTTCTCTCTGATTGGACAGTGGGGTGTCATGTGTTCAGCAGGTGTTGTCTTTGTTTTCCTCAGTCTGATGTGACACTGATCAGATTAAACAACCTTCACATTAGGCGAAGTTAAACCTGATGTAAAACCCGGAATGAGGCCTGGAGCCTCGTGCACGCACTTCCACTCTGGTGTGACCTGAGCACCTGACGAGCAGGTGCACCTTGGACATTATTCCTCCATTCTGTAACATAAATTACACCCAGTGACGTTACAACAGTGCAACCGGTTGTAACCTGTTGGAGCACTTCACCTTATGAGAAACAAACTTTACCCCTTTGGTTTGGTCTGTTGCTTTCTGCAGACACACGTTAACGAGGCGTCTGTTCTTCACTGCTCTGTCATTCTTTCATTTAATGATGTTCATTTGATCTTGTTTTGTGCAGAAACTAAATCTATTTTGGGAAGATGGACAAGAGATTTCAGGGTTGAGCTTAAGACATTAACCACATGTCAGGACCCATCAGACCTGCACCTGTGAGACCCCCCCCCCTCACCTCCAGGTACGGGATGATCCTGCACGAGAACTCTCCCAGCAGCCAGTTCTTGGTGAGCTCGTGAAACACCACCAGCGGCAGGCAGAAGAAGACGATGACGAAGTCCCACAGCGCGAGGTTGGCCAGCAGCGAGTTGGAGATGCTCCTCATGTAGTAGTTGTGACACACGATGCACATGACCGACACGTTCCCGATGATCCCCACGGTGAAGATGATGACGGCCGTGATCATCACCGCGTACGCGCCGTAAGACTCCGCGGTGAGCGGGTAGAACGGGTTCTTCACCTGCTTGCGTCTGCTCCGCGTGTTCACCGGCGCGAGCGGCGTGGGGTCGGGGAAGTCCGGCAGAGAGTACTCCTCCTCGTAGTCGCTGGTGTTGAGTCCGAAGGGCGGAGAGGCCTCTTGCTCCTGCGCCATGACCGCGGGCAGAGCCTCCAACGCAGCCGCGGCTCCGTCCTGCAGCGGCTCGCTGTGCTTCATCCTGCCGGGTTTGGCACTCCGCCTCTGCCGCCGGTGCTGTCCGGTCCTCTCAGGTCTGCAGGTGGGTCCATGTCGGGTTTGTTTAAGCACCTTTCCCGGACTGCATCCACCACTCCGCGGCTCACTGACCTTGTCTCCATCCGTGCGTAAAGCTTCTTCAAGTCGGATGCGCCGATCTCCATTTTGCGAGTCACTTTTACGCACAGCGCGCCGGTGTACCTCCGTCCCCAGCGGCTCAGAGGACGACCGGTTTACAGTATCCAGCCACGAGGCCTGAGCACTGGCACCGCGCAACCCCCCATTGTCCTCCCAGCTGACTGTGCGCCATCTCCGGCTCTGCGCATTCTTGTCAGCGGCGGTGGATTCATAATGAGGACTGAAAGTCGTCTTTGTTTTCTGCCAGTGGAGTTGACTCGCCACGGCCTCGCTGCACAGCCACAAACACAGTAACCTCAGGGGCGGATGCGGCATCGTGTGGTTCTGTCTAACCCGTGAGATGAAACCGTGTGATCCAAAATGATCCATCCATCTCTGGGCTCTGATATTCTCTCAAAAAAAGAAGAAGAAAAAAATCAGTTTTCCTTCATTTTCCCGCGCCAGCAGCTTTCACAAAGTCGTAGGTCGTGTAAAACAGGTGGACCTGGCCGGTTCGGGTGCGTCCCGGAGCGACTCCAGTCTGGAGGCATCACCAAAGAGACCCAAACCCAGAGTGGAACCAGGTCCACAAACCAGTTAACCAGCCGTGCAGGTCCTCCGCGGCAGAAGGTGGAGACGGGGGTGGAGTGCTGGAACCCAAACGACGCAGATCCACCTCCGTTAAGGAAAGTTTTTGCACGCCAAGCCGCACTCGAGCGCGCGGAGGGCGGCGTAGTGAGGTGGCGTGAGATACGACCGGAGAAGACGCCGAGCTGCGTCTGAGAGACAGGAGAGGATCCGAGAGGAGGAGGAGGAGGAGGAGGAGGAGGAGGAGGGCGGGAAGAGGAAGGGGCCAGTCATCTGTCAAGCCTGTGCTCTGATCCTGTAATAAACTGTACAAATAACACACTGAACTATAATCTGTGCGAGATTATCCACTTCAACAAAAATATGTATTTTCAGGTTTTATGCGGAAACTTTTCCTCTTGGTATAAGAAGCTTTTCTGGAAGTTTTGATCTCGAGTTTTCAGATATAACTTTCTGTATTTGGCAGAAGAGCTCAGGTTTAAATGATCTGTCAGAAAATGTGAAAAAATAAAAATAAAAATAAAAATTCAGCAAAATAAATTCTCAACCTGCTGCTTTGAAAATCGAGAAGAACTTAATATTAAATTTTTATGTGTATTTATAGTCTAGAAATATTTGGAGGTTTTTATTTCCTTTAGTATAAATAATGTGTGTGTGTGCATTCGTTGTTGTACAACATGAATCTGTTGTTGCACCAAAGCCTCGTTAAACAGCCACAAACTCTTTACTATTATTTCATTAAACTGAATAATCCTGCAGCATCATTCAGTTCATCCAAAACAGAAATACACTAGAAATCTCCCAGTGAAAGTTTGATGCGTCTCTTGTGTTAAAGGGAAGTTCACCTTGTCTGCCATCTAGTATCAAGTCTGGGTATTACAGCAGCGCTGTCCTGCTGCCCTGAACTCATCTGAAGGTGCTGGATTTGTTTCTCACTGACAGGTTTTACCACCTAAAGTGGTTCCAGCTTTTTGGCTGAGATTTTATTTTCGCAAGTTTTCTCTTTTTAAAAACGATTTGGTAACGATGAAAGGGAAAGTTTTTGAATTCGTCTGTGATGTTTGTGTTTGTGTCCAGATACTTGGTCTCTCGGGGTCGGTGGCCTTCAGTAGTTTCAGTCTGAAGTTTGCCTCTCTCCGGTCTCTTCTCGCTCTCTCTGCAGATGTGGCTCCAACATCAGTCCTCTGGAGAGAAACAGGTTGAGGTGACAACAGAGAGAGAGACACCAGGAGTTTTTAGTCAGATAAACACAACATTCATCAGAGTCAGCTGGTCTTCCTCCTCCAGCTTTGAGGGAAGAACATGAAGACATAAGGAAATACAAATAAGTACATTTAAAGGAATAAATACAAAGATTTCTAGTTCCCTTTGCTGCATCTCATTACCTCCACCAAGGAGGTGCACGGGCCGGGGAACAAGCCAGTAGACTTTAGTGCAGATCTGGTTAAAGAGGCGGAGGTAGGAACATCAAACACACGTTTGTCAGTTTCTTGGATCTTCATGTAGAAAATCAGACATATTTATGGTGTTTGTGCAAATTATCTAAATCTGCGTCTCACACAGTGGCAGCAGCAACATTCAGGAACACTTACATCAGTATTTCAGTCAACGTGCCTGATTGTTTGTTTGGCCTTGGAGGAGAGAGCCGTCCCAGCTGTCAGCTGTCAGATGACCAGCAGATGGCGCCGCAGCGTCACAGATCACTTCTGAAAAGTTCTCTGAAGATGAACAGTGACAGAAAATGAATTCACACTTTTACCTTGAAACAAGTTCTACACTGGGTTTACCGTCTTCTTACTGCAGAGGTCTCCTGATCCCGCAGAGCTTCATGTCCCTTGATACATCCATCGTTGTCCATTCATCCGGGGTGTAATAAATCACCTCTAAATATTTTATGATGGAAAAGATTTAAATGCATACATTGAAAGAATGAAATAATAATATTTTTTAAATCTTTTATGGCTGACGTTTGAGTCAGGTTATTCTGGGAGACTATGCCAAGCAACTGTGTTTGTCCTGTAAAGGTTTGAGATGGATCATATTTCATGTCTCAGCTGTTCCTGAAGCAACACGCCGCCACCGACAAAGCCCCATGTGAACACCTGCTAATAGTTAAGGCGCAAATCACAAAAAATAAATGAGTGAATAAAACTATTCTGAGACAAAAAAAAATCCTGATTACAGATAAACTGAGCCGCTGGTTCCCTCTCAGCAGATCAAATACACAAATGTTAACAACCTCATTAAGTCAATATTCAGTCTTTTATTTTGAAAGTCGTAGCCAGATTTTTAAAAGTCTCCATACTCAGCAGTTTTATACATTTCCGAAGCAACATTTTAATGAACATTTATTTTCTTTTACACAATAAATAAAAACCAGATAAAAACCAGAACGCAGGTGAAATAAAAACAAATAGAAACTGTTTTTTTTGGTGGTGGTTCAGGCGGGGCCGGGTTCGGACCGCGTGGAGGAGGGTTTGGTGACGGTGGTGTGGCCGACCTGGTAGCAGGTTTGGTTCTGTCCCGCGTCGTCCTCTGCTCGGTATGACGTCAGACACAAGTCGAGCCACGGACGCTCACCTGAGGACACGCAAACACAAACCCAACGTCACACCTGCACCTTTTCACTTCACACTGAAGTATCAAAGAAAGATAAACTCTTTAATCCAGGTGTGTGTGTGAGGATGACAGGTGTACCCGTGCCGCCCCCCGGAGGACAGAGGGTGTCCATGGTTTGGTGGATGATATTCTGAGCCTCCTGATTGGCTGCTACGTCATCCGCTGACACGTTGAAGAACAGCTCCTGATTAAAAGATACATAAGATAAGAGACAACAAATAAAGCGAGTCTGAGTTTACAGACCAGAAGCGACGTTCACCTCGAACATCACATTATTTTCTTGTTTTTTTTTAACCTTTTGTTTCACCTGCAGTTCTGTGAACAAACTACACTAAAATGCTCTCATCACACATTTCAGTAAAAGTTCAGACACAGCGTTGTTTTTCTCCTTCCTCCTGGATCTGATCCAGAGCGATCGGGACGTTAAACGTGACGTAAAACTCACTGCGTCTCTCCACAGGAAGACGTGCAGCGTGTCGGTGGCGTCGCGCAGCTCGAGCTTCATCAGCAGGACGAACTGCAGCAGCTGAACGCCGAGAGCTGCGGAGCAGAGGAGCAGAGACATTAACACCCCTGTGATTTATTTCAGAGGGAAAAGCTGCGGCTGGAACAGACCTGAGACCAGCCAGGTGACGTTCAAGGAACTTTTACAAGCTGCTGAATCAGGACAAAAAAGGGGGAAAGGACACAAACATAAACTGGGAGAGAGTAATGTTGGCGTCCTGCAGATATGAGCAGAGGTTTAATGTTAGAAAAGCATGGCTGCCTGTTTTTATTATTGATTCATACCACAAAGCTCAGCACAATTTCCCATGAGTCTTCAAATGTTTTGATTCGAGTCCAAAATGTTCAGTTCAAAATGATATAAAACTGAGAAAATCTGCAAATCCTCAAATTAAAATAACTGCAACCAGAGAACAGGCACAAGTTTTGACTTTGACTTCATCTGACAGAAAAAGAAAGTGTTTTCTACAATAACTGAACAGAGAAGGAGCTGAAGTCACAACACTCACATATCACTGTCAGTCTCAGACCGAACCGTCTCACCTTCTGCGATCATCCTCTCATCGATCACCTCGACTCCCTCAGTGCTCGGCTCCCTCACTGCAGCGTCAGAGCAACGTTTACATCTAAAACAAAGACAGGAAGTCATAAAGAGAATCCACAGATCCACATCTCTGGCTCACAGCAGGGCCTTTTAATTTGAAATATAACCAACTGTATCTCGCCATCATCCCCACAGATGGAGCAATGAGACTCCACAGCTCAGTTTATGGCTTCATAAGAAGGAGATCTTCTCTTTGTGATTTCATAAACTTCAGGTCTCCAAGGTCAGGGATGAACTCTAAACCTTTACTTTGAAGCAGAGACGTTACCGCCGACCTCTATAGAGAATCAACAATGAACGTTCAAACTCAAATCTGAACGTTTGTTCTGCACATGATCCTCAGTCGGCTCCAGACCGTCGCTCAGAGAGAGACAGATGAATCAGTTTAAACCAACACATGAGACGTTTAAAACGCCTGGACGCAGATAAATAAATGTACATTCAGGCAGTTCGTATTTTCGTTTTAAACCGAAAAAACGCCATAAAAGTGAACATCAGCTTGATCATGGAGTTCAATATTAACTGATTTAGTAAAAGGTTGAACAAGGGAAAGAATCACAGTCTATTTCCACATATAAATGAATCAGGCTATTAATTCAGGCTACGCAAGTAAATAATATATCACACACTTTTAGATAAAATATTTTCTATATATAATATAGTCTTAATACAAAGCAGAAACAAGATCTTTATCTGTCTGTGCTTGCATGATGTTACTTTATAGAACGGCCATTACATCCTCTTGGCTTTTATTTTGTAATATTGACCTTTACTTCCGTGACCATTATTTTTTTTGTTTGTTTTTGGTTTAAAACGAAACAATCGATCATTTTCTTGGTTTTCACCTGTTTTTTTGTTTTTAATTAAAACGAAAAAACGAACCTGCTACGTAGACGGACTCAGATAACGAAATTAAAAGTGAAAACTGTGAGAGCTGATCTTTCCTCATCCTGACTCAGTCGACTTTGATCTTTCAGTTGCCTGATTCTCTGAGACTCCTTCACGTTAAAGGTCCCAGTGTATCAGCCACAAATCAGCCAATACAAGCCTCAGTATCTGTGTAATCAGCTGATCAGTACATGCACCACAACATTACTCTTTAAATCAATTCAAAGGGATTTTCATCATAAATCTTTGTTGGTTTTGTTAGAAGCTGGTCTCTGACCCGTAGTATCTCCTCCTGCCCCTGAACAGGAAAGGTGCAGACAGGTCGAGCAGAGCCAGGTGACCTCCCGACGGCCTCACGGGGACGATGTTCTGGTAGCCGGCCGTTAGTCGACACGTTTCCTCCAGAGTCGAACCTGCAAAACCCCAGAAGCTCCGTCACCAGGTGTCTGGTTTGAGGATAAAAAAGCCTGATGATCAGCTGATGAAGATTCTCACCCATGAGGAAGAGGAGCTCTTTGGTTTTACCCTCGGCCAGGAGCTCGGAGGACAAGTGGACGGTCAGAGATCGGTCCGCGGATCCCGGGGCGTCTCCGGGGGCGTCAACCTTCCCGGAGAGCAACCACGGCGGAGGACTGCAGGGTCCGGAGTCGCTGTTCGCCTCAGAGAACAGACCTGAGACCAGTTCATCATCTGGAACATCCAGCCTGAGATCAGAGCATCCAGTCAGAGGGAAAACACACATTTTATTATATTTGACAACTCGACAACAATCCTTATCTCTGCTGCTCCCTATACGAGCCGATGTTTACAGATGAGTGTGAAGGGGAGAGAGGAGGAAAAGTAAATAAGCACAAATGTAATAATTCATTTGTCTCCTGTTGTGCCACAGTCGAATCTGTGTTTGTTTACTCTCGAACTGAGCCGGCTGCAGTTTGATGAACATGTTTGTAAATGATTAGTTTCTGTAAACTGCACTCGATAAAACAAAAGCTTTACATTTCTACATCACAAAGACGTTCGGTTGAATCATATTTAACTTCAGGCGTTTAATTCAAAACAAGCGACAGAAGAAAACTAGAAAACACCAGATTGGACATTTCCTCTGTGTGTGTGTGTGTGTGTGTGTGTGTGTGTGTGTGTGTGTGTGTGTGTGTGTGTGTGTGTGTGTGTGTGTGTGTGTGCCTACATGGATGAGCACTTGCTGCAGTAGAGTTTCAGAGCCTGGTGGAGTGCGTGGGGCTCGTAGGATCTCAGCTGGACCCGGACGTGGTGAACTCGACCTGGACCGGACCGCTTCACCTTGGACAGCGTCACCGGCTGCAAGTCGTGACTGCAGCTTCTCTCTGAGAAAAAAAAACACAGGATAAACACAAGCAGAGTGACTTTCATCAACCTCCAAAGCTTTAAAATGCTGTGGAGAACAGTCTGTCGCGTCGCAGCATCTGTTACGCTGCGAATACCGGACACGCCACGACCTGGAGCACTGACCATCATTTAGAAGGAACTTCAGCAGCAGGTTCAACACGCTCAGGAGAACTTTTCCTTGTCTACAAAGCTGGTTATCAACTGGCTCAGTTAACCCCGGATTCACCAATCCGGCTACGAGCGAAAGACTTTTCAATTATAATCAACCTCGTCAGAAACATGAATAATGAGTATTTTGGCTCCTTTGTCTGATGATGAACAAACTGTCATGAACACGTGAAGCAGATGAAAGAGTAAAAGTTAAAGCTGCAGATGAAGAGAGAGGTCAGTCCGACTGAAGTGTTCAAAGAAATATTTCACAGCGTAAAACCATCAAAGGGTTTAGTTTTTATTTCTAGTTCTGGTCACAGAGTCTCCTCCTCTGATCCTCTGAAGTTGCGCCGGAAGTTCAGCGTCAGTTACCATGGCGATTTACCCCGGCAGCAAGTGAACCACCGTCGCAGGACTGGAAAACCCAGAGTTAAACCCCGAAGTTACCTTGATAACCTCAGATCCTGCTTCAGAGTGCAGACCTCTGAACAGTATGAAGGACAGATGTTTACCAGTCCATCAACCTCTGGAAAGATTTAGACTCTGGTCTGCACAATTTACAGCGAACGGCCTAAAATCATAGAACAATACTGGTAGAATTAAACGCCATGTTTGGGTTCCGTATCTACTGTTGCTCTGTTATTGGACGCTCCGTCTTTTACCAAATTCTTTGAATATTTCTGACTTTCTCAGACTTTATCAGACTCCATGACTTTGACCCACTTTGCAGGATTTTCCTAGAAATCCAGAATCACTGAGAAACAAGAGAAAGCACAGAAATAGAAATGGTAGAAGTGCAGTTTACTATCAGTCGATTGATCCACACAGACCGTTGAGTCTTTAAATTTATGTCAAACTGAGGGAAACAGACAATGAGTGACATTTTGTTTGCTGAACGTGACCCGTTGATTGGCTGCAGTGTTGTGTTTCGTACCTGTGCAGCACTTCACGGTTTCAGCACCTGAAAGAGACAAAGAGACAGAGCCGGTAAACAAACTGAGGACCGCTGAGCTGCTGCAGAAAACACAAAGTCATCTGATGCGATCTGAGCGTTTTTATTAGAAAGACTTAAAACAAGCAAACAGACTCTGCTGCTGCTCCAGCTCACATATCCCTCAGCGACTGTGCAGAGTCATCACATTCGCTGTAAACATCCTCCTGCTACTGAGCAGACATAAATCCACAGATTTACAGCTGGTAAAAGATGCTGAAAGTTTGGTTTAACTGAAATAAAATTGATCAGTTCTCTTGTTACAAATGTTTTTTTAAACTGAGGATGTAGGAAAATTCACAGCAGATCAAAATATATAAATACTGTGCGAACAAGAACCTTTCACAGGCGGAGAACAAATACGGAAATAAATTAAGTTTTAAAACTGGACCTGAGATACACAGTATGTTCTGTATAATAATTGTATCAATGAATTCAAGATGATGTTTTCTCCTCGTCTTTCTTCACCTGCTTTAAACTGATTTACTGCCAAACTGTTTGTTAATGTAGTAGTACATTAAAAAAGAAGAAGTTTTGTGCTTTTATTGCAAAGAAACTGTGTCTCAAATGTTCAGTCCACTCAAGAGTTACACAACAGACCTCAGGCCTGCAGGTCTGAACACAGACACAACCCTTTCTAATGTGTCTGTCTGTCCGCAAACTCTTTATCTTATCCCCAGTGAAGCGTGGGCTTTTAGAAGGAACTGCTAGCGGAGGCAGCTCCCTGCAACATCCATCCATCCATCCATCATCCATCCATCCATCATCCATCCATCTTAGTCACACAATGGAAATATTTTTGTTTTCAGCAGCCATGCTAGCAGCTGTGCGAGGCTCTACACACATAGTGGCGTTTTGGGCTAAATGCTAATTGTCAGCACGATAAAATGCTCACAGTGCTAGTGCAACATGCTAATACTAAGCAAGCGGCTAACATGAACAGCATGAAGGGAGAGAAAACATCTGCTGTCACTAGCTTTAGCGCTCAAACCTGAGAGTCTACAGTCATGCTAGCAGCAGGGAGAGATTTCTGCTTCATCAGAGCTGTTTTACAGCAGTATTTTTAGATTTTAGAAGAGAGGAGATTTCATGGATGAGGATTAAATGGTTGGTTTGGCAAATGAGCTTCTGGTTAACTGCCACACACCTGTTAAAGAGCAGCACACGTCTCCCATGCCACAGTGAGTATGTAGGCACAGTGATGCTGTGAGCTAAGTCAGAATGCTAATGTGTTTAGCAGGTATAATGCTTATTTACTCCACCACTTGTTTAACATGTTAGCATGCTAATATTCAATATACATAGCACTATGACAAAGTAGAGCTAGAAGCTGATGAGAGTGTTATTAGTTCTGGACTAAATGGCTGAGCCGCCTCTGGAGTCTCCTTTAATCAGCTGATCAGAGTTGATGCGGGAGCAGCGTCTAGTGGTCGTGAGAGGAACTGCAGCTGCTGATCGGTCAGGACACCAGAGAGTTTAACTTACAGAGCTGTTTCACCTTGGTCGACTCTGGCGGCGTGCTCCAGACCTCCAACAACTCCGAGTCGCTGAAATCGGAGAGTCTGTCCTCGTGATCCTCTGAGAAGGCCTGAAGGGTTCTACAGACACATGAACAGGAAGACGCTTTTACATCACCACCACATACAAACAGAAATACAGTGAATAGTTCCAGTGAGCCGAATCGCATACTGCTATTCTCGTTCATTCAAACATCTACATATAAAAACAGAGAGAGGGACGTGTCGGCGAGGGTTGATCTTAAACCTGGATTAAATCCTGAATTTGATGCTTCACCGCAGTTTTAAATCTTCTTCCAAACTTTTGTTTTCCTCCAAAAGTTCCTCGTTAAAGTTTTCCACAATGTCTTTATTTTTAGCCTCAGTATTTTTGTCCCTCATCTCCTGCTGTACCTCTTCAGCTCCTGCACGTCGGGGCTCGTTTCTGGAAGAACCCGGATCCCCCTGCCGTACGCCGTCCCACCGTGCAGGTGAAAAGCCAGGTGATCCACCTCCTCTGATTGGCTGCTGGTGAGGCCGGGCACCTTACTGGATCCTGGTATCGCTCGCAGGTTGTAGATCCTCAGGAAGGCTCCAGGCTGAAGGAACAATTACAAAAACAAAACACAAAAAACATTAATTAAAGATCAGAAATTATTATTTAAATATTAGAAACAACAACTTTTCATCCCTGTCAGGACAAAGCTCTTGACAATTGTCTCTCAGCTGCCGTCCAAGGTGACAGCAGTCATCAGCAACAATTTGGGGGTTCAGCTTCCCGCTCAGAAATACTGACATGTCCGACATTAATCGCAGGTTGAACCTCTAACCTTGCGATTAATGGAGCACCTGCTCTCCCTCCTGAGCCACAGCCGCCTCCACAATCAGACACAACAGATGAATGTTTCCAGTGAGGAAGCTGCTGCAAAGGAATGGTAAAAATTCACGACACATTAAAAAATAGAAATGTCCAGAATCTGTCCTGCAGAGGCACAGAAGACAAGGTCAAAACAGCAGCAGAAACTTGTGTCATTTGTCTTTAAAACCTTGTTTAAACCTGCAGCAGCAGAACAAGCCATAAAAACAACATCCGACATTTGCCTTAAATGTCTCCTCATTTCTCTGTTTGTGTCCCTCTCATGTAAGTAGCAAGGAAAGGATGCAAGGAAAGGATGCAAGGAAAGGATGTGAGGAGAGAGGAATCGAAGAAAGAAGTTTTATGGAATTGAGACGTCAGATTTTGATGGCGATGGCACAGCTGGATCAGTCGGTCTGCAGATGTTAAGAGCTTGTTATGCCTTGTAGTTTGTATTTGAGAGGACAATCTGATGTACTGTGGAAATAATAATGTTTATATTGTGAAAAGAACCTTCACATCAGTTTGTGTTACTGTTCAGACAAAGCGTTAATTATTTTGTAAATTATATGCATCAGCAAATATTATTGATATTCTACTAAAGGGGTGTGTCAGACTTGCAGAGGATGGTGCCCAGCTTCCACACAGTGATCTGTGCAGGTGTTCCTATTTTTCTGGTCAGTCAGTGTAGACTTCAGCAGGTTTTAATCAATCAGCAGATGGCGATGTTGCACCAGACTTACAGTCAGAGCGGTGACAATGCTTCAGACGCTGCTCAAAGGACTCGGTTTTGGAGGGTTTGTCATTTTTGTTTTTCCTCTCCGTCACGACGAGTCTGCTCCGACACAAATCTGTCCTCACTTTCATCAGCTAACACTTCACTGGTCGAGTGTCAGACGGATTCACTCTGTTCAGAAATTCCACTGAAGCCTTTACACAGGGATGGTTCAGTCGATATGAGGCCTGGACATACACATATATATGACCTTTAATTGTATTATAGCTGGAGAGCAGGAGAACGTCTCAGAGAGTGAATCCTCTATAAGCTGTGGCTTCTTTAAAATCCATTTTCTCCATTTACTGAGTGAAGTTTGAGTCAGTGTCAGGGTGGATTAACAGCTGATCTCCTGAGGCCTCTCCTCCTCTGAAGGTCCACAGGAAGAGTGGAGAGATTAACTGGGAGGACTGGAGAGCTGCCACCACTTCCACAGAAGCATTTCATTATAACTGGATTCATCCTTTTATCTAGAATGATTTCCACACAACTGGAGGTTGCTTTGAAACTGACACATGGGAGAAAGCTCTGGCGTTTTCATTTATGTGAATTCAAGAACTGAAAAAAAAAAAAGAAATTCACTTGGTTTTACTGTCCCTCTGTCGCTGTATCAAGATCTGAGGACGCGAAGAATCAGGTTAAGAAAAAGTGAAAGATTAAACCCACGAAAAGACTTCAAGAAAAGAGAGATGACAGATTATTTACAAAAAGAATGAATTTGTCCTGACACTGTCTCAACTCCCAATGAATGATAATGTTCCTCTGTAACTGTTGGACGTATAAATAAGTAACTGCTAGACGACAGGTTTGACTCATCTACTTAAAAGGTGAGAATATCTAAATGTTGTGTTTATAACTTGTTTCTAACTGCACATTGATTTTTAAAACACTTATTGTGGGTTATTTTGAAAGGAATTGACTAACAACCATTGTCCTTCAGATATAAAGACTTAGTCGTCTTAGTCTCAGTGAGATTGGACTGAACACAAAGTGAATTTTACATGGGCTCAGAAGTCAGACTTTATTCACTCTTGGTGGCGAACCTCTGCATGAGTTGAAAATGTTTAAGCTCAAGAGACGAATCACACTAAAGCCAAAGCATGTTTCAACTAGAATCACCGCCTGATGGTTGTACGCCTTCGCCAACCAGCAGGAAATATGGTCACAGTCTCTCCTTCCTGAGTTACAGCACTGAATAATGACCAGAGGTGTTTTTGCAGAACATTATGATGTCACAGTGACGTTAACCTTTAATCATTTGATACAAAATATCATCACTTAATGTTTATCCTGATACACATTTGGGTTAAACTGAGTCATAATCAGTGTCTGAATTAGTGAGTTATGGCCAAACAACATGTTTTGTGAAGTCACTGTGACCTTGACCATTGACCTTTCACCACCAAAATCTCATCGCTCCATCCTTGAGTCCAAGTGAATGTTTGTGCCAAACTTTAAGAAATTCAAACTCAAGGCGTTACTGAGATATCGCGTTCACGGGAATGTGACGGACGGACGTCAAACATAATGCCTCAGGCCCTGGCTGTCGCCGGCGTGGAGGCATGAAAAGGAGAGAAAATGAAGAAAGATTAAATTCTTGATACATTCAGCCTCAGATTGCCCTCCATCCCTTGGCCAACCATCTTCTACTAGACATGAATCATCTATCATCACTTGGGGGAATGTACCTGCTTTTATTGTTGCAGAACACTGAATCCCGTCAAAGGACCGGAGGATTTTCTAACGCAAAATCTAAAAATAATCTGACTAGTAACCTCATTATATTCTTTTAAATGAAAATCAGCTTCCATTAAGTTGAATTCAATGCATCAAGGCCACAAGAAGAACTCTCCTCTTTTTCTTTGGGTGTATGTTTTCGATTTAGTTCTCTCCATCTTCCGCAGCGCTTCCCAAGTACATAGAAACTCTATATTTGAATATGAATTATAATTAAGATCATATAAATCCCACTGAGGCACGGAGCAAACAATGAGTCCAAACAGACAGTATTTTTGTTTGTAGAATCATAGACTCTGCCCGGGTTTCATTTCGTCTCCGGAGACCTGGATGTTTAGCAGATTGAGACAGAGGAAAACAACGGTAAGTACTCGCGAGTCTAGCTGTGTTTTCTCAGAGCTACGTGAGAGAGTTTAGCCGAGTTTACTACCGTTTGTGTTTGGAAGCAGGTGTAAAGAGAAATTAGAGAGTGACTAATGCTGGAAGATTGGGAGAAAACACCAGAGGACACACGGCAGGGCGAATAAAGGTGGTACCATGTGGCGTTGGCTCTGATCCGGCCCGGTCCAGCTTATTGTCTGTATTCACATATTAAATTCTCCGTAGCAGCTCCGAGAGGCCAGGTGTGTTTATAATGAGCCGACATTCAGCTGAGAGAAGCAGCACTAAGTTTAGACCAGAACATGACTCATCTGACCAGAGGACCAAGGTCACGCTGCGTCCAAAAGAGTCGCCGACTGAGGACGACTTTGCAGATGAAGTAGTCGGAGCTGCAGGTCGTACAACAACTTCTTATAGTGACAAAACTTTTATGTTTTCATTTGAATTTGCTCTTTTGTCTCTTGATTTGCATAAAACTGCTTCAAAGACGATTCAACACAATCTCCCTTTGTTTTTTTAGTAAATGGACATGATATGAGACAAAATGGACTCCCAGGTGTCCCTATAGAGACACTAATCGATTCCCAGGTGTCCATGTAAATGTTTTGGCTTGTGGTCTTCATCAAGTCATGACCCTGATTTTGGGTTGCTTGTTTTGACCTTTTCAAAACTGTTTCCTGCCTCCATTCACCAAGAAAGTTGGCGAAGTTGGTGCCAGCAATCCCTGTTGTGCTTCTGGACAATAACAGACTCTCAGGTGTCAATAACGGACTCCCAGGAGTCCACAGAGAGAGGACAGAAAGAAATTATTTTCCTAGTTTGGTGTGGAAGAACTTGTCTTGCCTGCACAGAGCCCTGACTTCAACTCCATCCAACACCTTTGGGATTTAGTGGAACGCAGACTGTGAGCCAGAGCTTATCACCCAGCATCAGAGTTGGACCTCACTCATGCTCTTTTGGCTTAATGGGGGAAAAATACCTGCAGCCAGAGTCAACACAAGAGTGGAGGCTGTTATTGTTTGCCTGCTTTCAGACCAATGAATCACTGCTCACATCGCACATTTATTCTGTGACTCTGTGATGAATAAGTCTGATGTTTGGTCCTGGGCTCACTGACGACCATTTGTACAGGGTGGAGAAACAATCAACCAATCAGACGTTTGTGTCTTTCAACATAGCTAGTATGTAGAGACACAAGTCATTCTTTTAAAGTTATGTTCCAGCAAAGACATGGCACATTACAGACTCAAGTTGTGACATTTATCTCTGTAGGCTACGAGCTGGGTGTGGCACAAATTGCGACCTTTTTCAGAAAGACAAGAACAATGTGAATCCTCACGTTACACTAGAAAGGTCCAGAAGAACACATCATCTACTCACCCTTTCCTCAGTTGTCAACCGCAGTCTGGTAAAAGTCCAAGCACAACTTTTAAAGCCAATACGCCCATGTTTCAAACTTTTCAGCGCTTGTTCCTCCATTGGTCTCTAAACAGTGTATGCAGAGTTGTTGTTTTACTGTTATCAATCAACTGCCAAATTAGTCCAAAAGATAGCGACGATGACATGAGAAAAAATGAATAGCCTGTTCATTGCAGTGCTGTAAACATACATACACATACAGCCATATTCCTGCTACAAGACAGTTAAAAAAATACTCAAGAATAGTTTCCATAGACATAATGATTTATTTTCGAATCTAAAAAACGGCCCCAAGCAGAATCCCAGCGCCGTTCAGCCATGAATTTAAAAAGAGTTTTGTAGAATCTATATTTCTCAAAGTAAGGTCGAGAAAAATGATTGTTTTGGTATCTCAGGTTTTGTACCAGCAGTGGTATTAATTTAAAACACCA